TACCCCTGCATGTACTGATATGTTGAGGGCTCCTAAAGCTATGGTGTAGGTCTCTTCTCCCTCGAGACTAAATGACCAAGACCACTGAGCTTCCTGGGCTTCCTTTCTGCGGTCTTCCTCTCAGTCTGGGGTAGCCAGCCTCCAAGAGGATCCCCAACGATTCTCACACCTCCCGTTACTTCATACCCTCTGTGGTCTCATCACACAGACCAACCCACATTATGCTGGTGTGATGTCACCTCACTGCTGAGATCAGGTTCTAAGAGGCACTGTGGCTTCTGGTTCTCCCTCTGACCACCGGCTCTGGGGAAGCTATGCCATGAGCAGCCATGTGGAGACATACTGTGGCAAGAAACTGAAGCCTTCTGTCAACAGCCACAAGAGTGAGCTTGGAGCAGATCCTCCGGCCCCACTCGAGGCTCCAGAAACCACAGCCCCAGCTGACAGCTTGACTGAAACTTCATGAGAGACTCTAAGCCAGAACCACCCAGCAGGCTGCTTCCTGACCCTCAGACACTGTGTGAGATGGTAAATGTGTGTTCTTTTCAGCCGCTAACTTACAGGGTAATCTGTTAAACGGTAACAGAGAACTCATATACTATCTACTCTGGCATCCTTCTGTGGCTAGGAGACCAGAAGCTACGCTCATTTAGGGCCACCTCAACTCTTTTGTGAAATAAAGCAGGGAGAAGACATAATTAACGTTAAAAGGTATTAGAACTTTAATACCTTTTAAGATATGAGTTAGGGGGTTATCTTTAAACATGTGAAGTTCTATGTATGATAATCAATTTTTTTCTCTTCCCAAATATATTTAATGACAAAATTCCTTCCATTCTGATTGCTTTTATTTTCTTAGTTGTTATATTAAAATCAAGAAATATTAAATTGCCTGCTCTTCTAAGAAAAAATTCTTTTTCTCAAGTCATATTTAACCCATATACAAGGGTATATGTCTTTTTACATCTATGTATATAGTATATATAATATGGGTAGGATCACATATAGTTGCATTTATAAAATATCAAACGTTGATTACTAATAAAAAATTTAACCAAAAAAAAAAAAACAGTCCTTATAGTTAGGAAGGCTTTTAAATTTTTAAATCTGTAATAATTTAGGTTTATTTCTTTTTCTCTTCTTTTAGTTCTTAGTTTTTATGAATTAAGGCAGGAATTTA